TATTTATCTTTTTAGTATGAATGGAGGAGATTTATCATCCTTTGTAGACTTTCAAATCAAGAAATCGTGTCAACTATTGTTTTTTTTTTTTTTTAAGGTAAAATGTAAAAGAGTAGTTTACTCTTTGCGCACCATGCGGCTGTTTAGAAAATGATAGCAAATGAAGGCACATAACAAATTTCAAAAAAAAAAAATCCTAGTACATAATAAATTAAAAATAAAAAGATAAGAAAAATGTAGAATACAAATGATCTTTATTTAAACCAACCGCAAGCACTCTGACAATTCTTAATTAAGAAATAAAAGTAACATACATTTCTGGTTATAAACAAATTTATCCCGTGCATCATACATATATATATATATAAAATTCACAGAACACACTGATCTCATTGTTCTTTTTCTTAATTAAGAACTAAGTAGGCAGAGAAAAAAAAAATAGTAGTACTTGATAGAGGAAAGCAAAATTAAGACACATGCATATAATTAAACGCACGGAGTCCAGTCCAGTAGGTTGAAGATGATGAAGCAGGCAATGACATGTTTACATGATTGTGCACAAAATTTGATTTTCTTCAGTACAGTAATTAACGCAACCGCATCTGTAGCAACCCCAACCCAAACAGTCGCAAACCGGTCTCCCATAATATCCATATGGACCCCAACAAAACCCCGAAGGAAGAATAACCTGAAGCTTCACATCCTCCTCTTTCTTCTCCTCTTTCTTTGGTGGTTCCTTTTTCTTATCTGAAGGTTCCTTCTTTTTCTCCTCTGGAGGCTTAGGCTTTTCTGGCACTTTGATCACAATCTTCTTGATGGAACGACCGCCCTTGCAGCGTAATTTATCCCTGATCTTCTCCGGTGAGCAGCACACCACCTTGATTTTCACCTAGTTTGCCTTCTCATCATACTCCTGATCTCGTATTTCTTTAATTAATTTGTTCACAATACAACGACTCAGTCCATTTCGCTAATCAATTTATTCAATACGTACGGAAATTCTATTAGGAGAGAATAATATTAATTGAAGAAATAGACTCACCAGGAAATTTGCAGAGAAGTTTTTTGACCTTTTTGTAGCATTTTGAGCACTGTAGGTCCACATCGAGCTCCATTATTGTCCCCTGTAAAAGAATATATGTTTAGATATACATATATATTATTGAACGTCATTCACCTTATATGTATATATATACATATATATGCCATACATGCAGAGAAAGAATTGAATTTAATTTTCGAAAAAGGATTAATTATGAGCAAAATTAAAATTATGGCGCCATATGCATCAAACCAAAATACATAACTATCCCTTAATTTTCATCGAGAGAGAGAGGTATAACAGCCACAGAAAAGAAAGAAAAAAAAAAAGGGAGAGTATAAATTTAGCACCAACATTCTCGGCCATGGCTGCTATGGATAGAATTAATTAAGGCAAGCTGATTCTTAAGAAGTAGGGCGGGCGAGGGCGGGGTGTCTGGTTCCACGCACTAACCGTAGTCAATGGCACTCGTCAACGTTTGTTTTTCCACAAGTGGGTCCGTCTAATCGGACCAATCCTTTCCTTGCATGTGCTGCTTGTCATTCCTTTCACCTTCACATGTACAAAGCTAATCAATATCCTTTCCCAACTGCCCTAAATAATATTAAATTATATAGCAAAATCGTAACCTACATGCAAAGGTAGAGCCAGAAAACAAAATTAAGAAATAAATAAATATATTTTTTTAATTTTTTTAATTTTTGGTTTTTTTATTAATTGAAATATTTTATTTAAATCATAAATAATACTTCATTATGATAATATTCAAATAATAAATCAATCAATTTAAATAATTTTAAAATATTATTTTTCCTATTTCAAAATATTAAACGAAAAAGAAATTAGTGAGATTTGAATAAAGTATAC